AATTTAATGTGGGGTGATTTTTTTTTTTTTTTTCATGTTTGCCAGGTTTGTGTGGGAAAAAAATAAATAGCAAGATGGTCAATCAAAAAACTAGCTAAATATCAAATCTCAAAATATGCTGCTCCTATATATTTTACTGTCACTTATGCATTATAATTTCAACATGAAAATCAGTGTATATAGTAGTAATCAAAGATAAAGGTTATATAATTTATGTAATATGTCAAACTTTTAACCTACAGCAACAGTTTTTGCTATGCATTTTGTTTTATAGATGTATAGAAATAGAAATGTTAGATAAATAAGTGTAGATAAATTTCAGAGTGTCCGCTACTGTTGCGTGTAGTTTTTACCCATATTTAGTGAAAAATAGTTAATCAATTGCTTTATGCAACCATTACAGTTCTGTTATACTGGGTCTATATAAGGGTTATCAATAATAAATATTAATGTTAATATTTAATATTATTTTTATTGTTATTAACAATTGTAATAGTGTTTTTTTGGTGGGGGGGGGGGTTCTGTCTGATATATAGCAAAGTATTTACCTAAGGGACTTTTTTCTTTTCTTTCCTCTCTCTTTCTCTTCCTCTCTTCACTGTGTAAGTTGATTTGTTTTCTCCGCCCCTTCAGTCAGTAAAACTTCATGAAAATTCTCGAAGCATGAGAGAGGCACTATGGAGATCAGTGTGCTATCTCTATTAGCATCTCATATTCCGCAGCACTGCTGGGGCTCTGGAAAGGTCTTCGTGTTACACTGCCTTGGTTCATTGGGCTTTTTATAGTACACACTAGATTCCTGGCCCTGGTGTATCTCGTCAACCTGTCATGGTCTGTCTCGCTAGATAAAGTTACTGAAACTTCCAGAGTTGTTTCTGACTCCCAGAGTGTGTTTTAAACATCACATCTGAGAACTTGGCTACATCACTACATTAGTCAATGTTGAAGTGGACATTAAACAACGTTAGCCACCATCAGCACATCCATATTTAGTTTGCCACAGGGGATTTCTCGACATAAAGCGGCAAAACACCTATATGCTTTAGGAAGGAAACTATTTGCAGAGGCTTTGTGATTGGCTGTTTAAGTCTGTATACTGGCTCATGCATCTCATTATTGATCTAGTACAAACAGTAGTTGAATGACTCAATTGTGTTGAGTCTGTTCCTGTCACATGTTTCTGTTGTAACGTTTATATGCTGTGTGTTCATTTCTAATGTTTCCTGTGTGTTCAAGAGCTCCCGTCTGCTGAGCTTTCCAAGAGGTTACAATTCAACTGAAAGCCGTCACTCCAACTGGAAGCTCTCTACTCCTGTCTCTCTGTCTTCATCATCATCATCATCATCATCATCTTCCTGTGATCGAACATGGACAGAATCCACCAGTGGGGACCGAGGCAGACTTGTAAATAACTTGTGTATAAATTTTGTATATATAAGTTATATAAAGTGGTTTTATAATAATAATAATAATAATATGTGAACGGTCCAAGAATCTGTTTAGCAAACATCCCAGGAGTGACATCTGATTGCGTTTGTTTGTGTATTTGCATTTTAGACAGACTCTGAGAGAAGACTGGGAACCTACTGTGGACTTCTTGGCACATCCCAAGACAGCGAGTCTAAAAGAGCAAAACTTTCTTACACAAATAGAGCAGCATATTCCAGATCCCCATCCACATCTAAACCTGCCAGCTCTTATTCCACTTTAGGAAGTATGTCACCGTAAAATTAGTTATAAAAATCTTGTGTAAAATACTGTAAATATAGTTAATATTGTGTGTCTCTTCATTTTAGCAAATGGCTGCAATATAACAATGAGTGAAAAATTTAAGGGGGTCTGAATACTTTCCGTACCCACTGTATAGTGGATTAACGCATTGATCTTGTGTGTAGATTCTTCATGGAAATCCTCCATCAGTCCTTTGTCTAGATCATCCTCTTCATCATCCTCCTCATCTTCGTCCACTCCATCAGAGGGTCTTTGGGCTCGCAGAGATTTGGAGAAGAGGGGGGATTCAGGACTGACCTCACTGGGGGAGTCTAGTTACCGGCCTAGCGGGCTGACATCTTCACTGTGTATGTGCATACATATACTCCTATTTACATAGACACAATCATCCACTAGCAGTCTTGTCCTGCTGTTAGGGGTGCTCCGATCAGGATTTTTGAGGCCGATCACCTATCGCCGATCACAGACAGCAGTATCTGCCGATACCGATGCCGATCTTTTTAAAGCCTTCTTTTTATAATTTATAACTATTTATAGTGATACTCCAATCAGTATTTTTAGACATTTATTCAGGGCCTGAATTTCATTTTTGAAAATGGGGGGG